CCGTCACTTCCACAAAATGTGTATTAAACATGGAATACCTTAAAAATACTGAATGACTGTCATGCAGTCAGTTCATCCAGCTATTCCACAGGCAAACCTAAATGTATGATATACTTGTAAGTTTGTCTATGCATTTCATTTTTTACGTCTACCAAATAGGCCTAATATTGACCAATATGATGAAGTAGATATTGAAGATTACATTTTTTGTGATCTATATTTAGTGTCTGTTCTTTTTTGCAAATAAGCATAAATCTGGCAATATCAATATATTGACCATTCCTATATATAGTAGCCTGAAACACCTTTTTCGCCACAACGTTGCTAAAATCTCTGGTGGCAAACTTATTAGGCCTAGAACAATACAGAAGTCACATGCCAGGTGGGTCATATTTATCAGTTAAAACACTGACACAATAATGTCACGACAATAATGGATAGGTCATTTCTCTTATTTTACAAATATAATATTTCGATGTACTATATCGACGGTATAACTGTTAATAACACGGCAATATACACGGTCAACGTCGAGACCGCTCAGCTGTGACAAGACTTGTACTAATAATTAACAAGCTAAAATATGAAATTCTGTTCCACGCAAGTTAATAAGCCGTACCTGTCTATATTCCTCAGATCATGTTGTTCGTTATCGGAGGATGACGAAAACCATACTTCAAGTAACTTCTCGGTTCCCTCGAAAAAATCCTCATGATCGCTCGCACCGGCCATCGCTTCAGACGAACAGTACACGGGATAACATATATAATGTCAAGGTCACGAGTGTTACCGGTCAACAGGCTAAAGTAGTCGTGAAGATAAAATGGAAAGTCAGGTCAACATGTTCACAACGGCAGGTTCGGGACTCACAGCACGTGGAAAATGCCTACAAAATATAATATTCTATGACGCAGATTGACTCGTCAAATAAGAAAATTGGTGAATCGTCCTAATCAGTGTGGGTGAGGGTAAAGCCCGGAATGCACTCAGGACTGTGACTGAAAATACTGTGTTTACAGTGTTTCTTTAGCATTTCAATTGCCATATATCTCCCTACATTCTTTTTTTTTACGAATTCTTATTCAGAAAACAACAGAATAAAAATATATTTACTCTCCATAAAGGAATCGGTTATTATTTAAAGCATAAAATATTCCTCACAAAAGTGGTGAAAACAGAAAACTCTTGAAATTTTTCACTTTATGAAAACATTCCCTGGTAATTAGTTGCATTTGATTTTGTTTTTGTTTCAAAGAAAGTTTTTTCATCTAATGAGAAAAAAGTATTGTCTCAATGTAAAAAGAAAATAAATAAATGATTGAACTAATTTCGAAAAGGACATAAAAGTGAATATTTTAATTGGCTACGCTATAAGCATTTATTCATGTAAGAAATGACCATCAAACTGATAAATCAATTAAGCTTTGCTTTATTTCCATACCTGGTCATGGATGTGCGAGAGTCTATGAGCCCCCTAGCCTTATCTCAATTCAGAACTTGCCCACTGCAGGGTATTCCGATGGTTTCCAACATGATACAGTGAGTGCCACTTCAACTCTCTGTCCAACACTTTGGGGTTACCCCCGCAGTGAGTCTATAACATGATTTCTCTTTGTGGCATGTTCTGTGATTGCTGATTTATTGATTTGGGACTTCAAAGTTCTTCTGATCATGTGAAAATCTTTCCCCCGTTTGATTTCTACATCTTTCCAGTGTCATTCAAGAGCTACCATACCTTTCTGCATGATGCTCTTCTTGGAATGAAGACAAGCTGCCAGTCCCATGAAATATTTACAAGCAAAATTTAGGTTTACATGCATGTATAAAATTATCGTTTCCAGCTAAGGATGCATGCTATCTTTCTTTCATACATTTTTTCTAGTAAGATCCCATTGGATTCTATGAACTTGATATAATCTTTCAGTGATAGAAATCAAAAATGAAGTCTGTCACAGAGTAAAGATACATGTATATGTACTCACTTTTGGTACTGACGAATCAGAATGTATCTTTCTATTTACTGCATTCAAAGCTTCAGATGTAGATGAAACTATGAAAGAGTGTTCCTATATTCTTAGATGTAATGATTTCAGCTGAAAGAATAACTTAAAATATGTCATTTTAAAGGGTTGTTTTGTCTTTAAGGGGGTGTATACACACATTTTATTTTTATGTTTTAATGTGCATTGATTAGGTTGCCTTACAAGTGTCAGCTGTAGGGAATTTCCCTTTAGCTAAGTGGTAGAGCATCGGGCTGGAGAGCCTAAGGTCGCGGGTTTGAGCCCCAGCGACGGCACTTTCTTTATCACTATTAATGTGGTTGTTTTGGTACATCTTTGTTGCATACTGACTAAGATATGAACTTTCCTACACTATTGATACGTACATATGTAAGCTAATATTACAAAGTAACACCAGAAAACTTAATAACATTTACATCTATTTAAAATGAGGCACAGGCTTGTTGTCAAGCATGACATCATTAGAATATGATGCCAAAGATCACACTATATCTAAATTACATTCACTTTTTAAGCGGTTATATTTTTGTTATTGTGTAAGTACTTTAAAGGTAATAGGATTGTGTCATCATTTCTCAGTAGAAGTTAAGAAAATGTTCTGCCACAAAAAATATAGGTTGTCAGAATTTTAAGGATTTTAAATGGAAATTTATGTAAAAAAATGGACACCTGTGACTCATTGATAAAAAAAACCCAACTGAATTAATGCCTGGATTGCTTTGAAATACTTTAATATTGAGAGAACACACTGTTCTGTCAATAATAAACCTACAATATTCATCACTTTAATATTAAACATTAGAATATGCGGATATCGGATACTGTCGCCCTACATTGGATTTTCAACTAGGGATGTACTTCCTATTTCCGTTTATCAATACACTCCTATGACCTTAAATTATAATAGAAAATTTAATGGTTTTCCCATTGAATACCATATAACTTTCACTCACTTAGGATCTAATGTTATTTTCACTCATGCTTTGTACTGACATGAAAAGTTAGTTTCCAATATAGGAGGTGATGGAGCTCCTCCACACTGAACCCTAAATTAAACGATAGTATAATTTACATTTAAAATTCATCGCTATTTATTAAATGTGATAAAATATTGGTACAGAATATGGTATTCGGTAGGAAACCATTAAATATCCTGATTTACTGTGATCTATCAGCTTCTCCATTTCAAGAGTTCTACACCATAAACTTTCTTGTATAAAAAGGACATTTGGACTTATAATTTGGACAATTGACTGGTATAACAATCAAATATTAACTTTATTTATTTTACAACCACTATGAAATAAGTTTTTACAACTTATACTAATCACTCTCAGCCAAAGGTGTCAAATGTCACTGAAGAAACTATTTCTCCTAGCTTAATTATTTCACTCAATTCAATCCTGATGCAGGAAAAACTATAATGCCCATAATGACAGCATGGGAACAACGTTTAATCAAAATGCAATTAGAAACAGCTAAAACTACTCAGTAAACATCAACAACACATTGTAGATTATCATGAAGTCTCCTTTATTCTCACATACAATGTACATGTACACACGTCTGCACAGATTCTCTCACAAAATTCACTTTCAACATCATACCATACAATTCTAAGAAAAATAGTTCCATTATAACTATCAAATGTCTTCACGTTAACATTGGAAATGTTTTCTCATACATATACATGACATTACATATACATGTATAAATAATTTTTTAATTCCAAATGTATCACATATATACAACATACATAATTAAACTGTACTACATCCCAACCATTTTGGTCACAATTAACATTACAGATTTGAGAAAATATTTCTCAAGAAATATATTTGGATTGTCTTTTATTAACAATCCATGCAGATAAGAAAGTTTACAAGTAGATAGGGGCCTGTGTATGCTGATCAATGGTGCACCATATATTAATACATTTTTACATCTCGCATACATCATGGCAGACAAATTAAAAAATCAGGTTATTGTGTTTTTTTTGCAAATTGACCACATACAAACTTGTGTATGTGTTATAGAATCACCTGTGAATAGTCAATATTATCCCTGTATGTCATACAAGTTTCCTTCACCTGGTCATAGGCTGATGAAGCTCAACAGATCATCTTCATTGTCCGATAAAACACGCTCAGTTACCTCATACTTATTGACTAATGAACACACAACAGTGCCCTTTTCATGGAGCAATGAACACTTTATTGTGCCTTGGTTACCGAGCAATAAACAAACTATATTGTACCCTGTTCATGGAACAATGAACACTCTATTGTGCCCTGTTCATGGAGCAATTAAGCACTTTGCTGCACTCTAGTCAGTCCGATGAATGTACTTATACCCCAGACTTGGGTCATTTAAACACATTTGACCAGTCCTTGTCCATGCACTATAAATAAACTGTTACATGCATACTGTTCATAGAGCGATGAAATAACTTGACTATTCAGTACATGTCCTGGTAAAACACATGAAAATAAAATCCATGACTTTGTCCAGTTCACTGGTTGATGAAGCCCATATAAACATGTCCTGTTCATGAGCTGCTACACTACTGCATCTTATTCATTGGGCAATGAACTGCACAGGACTGACTCTTGATTGGATTTAGGTGCATTTCACCTTCCGGACTCCATGTCTTTACAGGAATCATGTAATTATCTACCCGGTAAAATATTGTGACCAAAGCTAAAATCGTGACTGTCCGTAGGTTGTGGACGTAGACGTCTGCGAGTGGTTTCCAGAGGTGAAGGTCATTCCCTGCTGGTTGCCTCCTTGAACGTTGTGCATGTGCTGCTAAAAAACAATAATTCATGGTCATCAAAATGGAAAATGACAAAACATTTCAGTGTATTATTATAAATTTATTGTTCAAAAGAGTGTTTTAGGTTGCCATTATAATATAAGGGATAATGTATATATATGCAAGCGAACTGAAGCATGATGAAATGTTTATATAGGCGAGGTGTACAGTTGTATATTGAAGAAAAGATAGAAGTTATCTACAAGCACACACAACAAGCCAAGTGCACAAAATATCTACAGCTACGTGTTAGTCAACTTGAGATTACATCCAACCTCACGACATATAATAACAGATCAAAGATAATTCTCACATTTTAAATCTCTACACAAATGATTACATTGATGATCAGTAACTAACAAAAACAAAATAGATAATTAACTTTTCATTATTCAAGAAAAATTTCCAAATAAAAAAAACCCATTATTGGATATTCAGGATATCTTTCAATAAAAGAATCTGAAATATCTTTAACTTAAAGATGTCCAAATTATCTTACTTATGAGATGTCTGAGATATCTTAAATTGTAGGATTTTAAACATGGGATGCACTAGATATCTTCAATTATGGGACGTACGAGATCATTTTATTTATGGGATGTATGAGATATCTATATTCATGGGATGTCCAAGATATCTTTACTTATGTGACATATGAGATATCTTTAAGTATGGATTGTATGTGATATCTAACTATGGGTTGTCTGAGATATCTGTTATTGTGGGATGACCTAGATATCTTTACTTATGTGACATATGAGATATCTTTAAGCATGGATTGTATGTGATATCTAACTATGGATTGTCTGCGATATATCTGTAATTGTGGGATGACCTAGATATCTTTACTTATGTGACATATGAGATATCTTTAAGCATGGATTGTCTGTGATATCTAACTATGGGTTGTCTGAGATATCTGTAATTGTGGGATGACCTAGATATCTTTACTTATGTGACAAATGAGATATCTTATAAGTATGGATTGTCTGTGATATCTAACTATGGGTTGTCTGAGATATCTGCAATTGTGGGATGACCTATATATATTTACTTATGTGACATATGATATATCTTTAAGCATGGATTGTCTGTGATATCTTACTATGGGTTGTCTGTGCTATCTGTAATTGTGGGATGACCTTGATATCTTTACTTATGTGACAAATGAGATATCTTATACGTATGGATTGTCTGTGATATATCTGTAATTGTGGGATGACCTAAATATCTTTACTTATGTGACATATGAGATATCTTTAAGTATGGATTGTCTGTGATATCTAACTATGGGATGTCTGAGATATCAGTAATTGTGGGATGTCCTAGATTTATATATTTTAACTTATGGGACATATGAGATATCTTTAATGAGGAATGTCTGATATCTAACTATGGGATGTTTGAGATATCCGTAATTGTGGTATTTCCCAGATATCTTTATTTAGGGGATGTATAAGATATCATATATCATAGGATGTCGGAATTACCTTTCATTATGGTCTTTAATCAAGAGGAATGGTCTGAGATATATGAATGTATCTTAGTTAGGACAGTGGAAGGAGGGAAAGGAGAAGGGAAGGGATGGGAATTTATTCCAATGGCAAAGGCAGGGGAAGAGAAGGAAAAAGAATTGGGTAGGCAGAAGGAAGGGAAGGTGAAGAGAGGAAAGAGAAGAACAAGGTTGATTTGATGAATGGAACGATTAGAAGTGTTAATTAACTTAGAGATGGGGGAAGGAAAGGGAGGGGGGGGGGGGGGGGGGGGGGGGGGGGGGGGGGGGGGGGTAGGACACAGGGATAAGGAAGGGATGAATGGAACAAAAAGAGGAGACACATGAAGGGGATTTCATGAAGTATGATAATAACACTGCATTTGGCACACAATAAAATGTATACAAGATTAGTGTGGTTTGTATAACCTGTTATCATGTTGTTATCGAAGGATACACAACACACATTTTTTTTTTAATCATTTTTGGAACATAAGGTTTAAGTTATAAAAAGTGTCAGACAATAAAAATATGCTCATTTTGTTAAATACGGGTCCATATGACTTCTGTAAAGTAGTATATGTCAAGGTCAGTGTCTAAACCGATAGTGATAGTGTGTATCTGGTAACACCAGGATCAGAGCATGGGATACAGGGTTGGTGTGTCATTCCTATGGTCTTTCTGTGGGAGTCGACGGGATTGTGTTACTGTATATGCCCCCGCCTAGAGTAATTGGTGTGTGCTTCCCATGAACAATGTGAAGTCCTAAGGGTAGTGTAGTGTGAAATCCCCAGGGTAGTGAGAAATCACAGGGGTAGTGAGAAATCACAGGGGTAGTGTGAAATCCCCAGGGTAGTGAGAAATCCCAGGGGTAGTGTGAAATCCCCAGGGTAGTGAGAAATCCCAGGGGTAGTGAGATATCCCAGGGGTAGTGTGAAATCCCCAGGGGTAGTGTGAAATCCCCAGGGTAGTGAGAAATCCCAGGGGTAGTGTGAAATCCCCAGGGTAGTGAGAAATCCCAGGAGAAGATAAATATCTAAGGGCTAATGTGACTTTTTGAAGTGTGAGTCTCAGAGTGACACAGTGTTCACCTAAGGGGAAATGTGTGAGCAAGTGAGAAATAAAGTGTGATTTGTTGGTATATAAGTTATTGCTTGAACGAACGGGATATGTACTGCTTGGACAGGGTATACGTAAAAGCCCTAGAAGTAGGAAGCGAGTCCCAGGGAGATGATGCAATATCATAATGTGACCCCATCAAAAGGGCAAAGTCCGTATAAGTAGGGCAAGATGGTAATCTCAGTATCGGGCTTGTGCCCTTGGGGTAGCTTCAAAATGTATGCCCCATGTGATCCCAAGGGGTTGAGTAAGAGCCTGAGTAGAAAATTTAGATCCTCTGAGTTAGGGTATGAGTCTCAGCATTTATGAGTAGACTAAAACGTTAGCCATGAACCCCAAAGGGTTCCCCTAGTCTTGAGAAAATGAAGATGCAAAGGGGAAGTGTGTGATACTCTATGGTAATGTAGGAATGACCAAGTGTGTAGTCCCTGGAGTATAGGTTGCAAGTCCCAAGGGTAGATTTTGAGCCCTTCTGGTAGACTGAGACCCCTTTGGGTAGATTGTGAACCTCCATGGCAAATTGTGAGTCCCTGGGGAAGCTTTTGAACCCCTGGGGTATGTTTTAAGTCTCTGGGGTAGATTGTTAACCCATGGGGGGTACCTTGTGAATCCCTTAGAGAGTGTGTGGCTAGTTCAGAGTCCCTGGGATAGATCATGAGACCCTGGGGTAGATTGTTAACCCCTGGAGAAGATTGCAAGTCTCTGGAGAAGACTGAACCCCTGGGGGCAAGTTGTGAGTCCCTTTGGTGGATGACAATTCAATGGGGCAGGTGGCGAGTTTCTGGGGAAGGGGGCAGTGCATAGCCACTGAGGTAGCTTAAGGTTCTGAGTCACTGGAGTGAATTGCGAGCACCAGTGGTTACTGAACGCCCGGGGAGTATGTTGTATTTCAAGAGAATTGAGTAACACACAGTTGAATATAGTAGGATGAAAGTTTTGGAGTCATATTTTTCAGTTTAAATGTGGACAGGTCACCTGATCAGTTGTGGTGTGCACAGGTCACATGATCAGTTTAAGTACGGACAGGTCACATGATCAGTTTAGTGTGGACAGGTCACATGGTCAGTTAAGTGTGGACAGGTCACATGGTCAGTTTAGTGTGGACAGGTCAAATGACTTTTGTGCACAGAGTGACAGGGTTGGGTGGTACCAAGAACTTGTAAAACACCAGATATTAAATGATATTATAGATTATAACAGGAAAACCTCTAAATAGGTAACCTCGAACACCAAAATTAAATTGTATTTTCTTTTTATATTTAGTGCATTATATTTCAAATGTTCTTTTGGTGTGATGGATTCTGGTGATATGGTGGATAAGTTAGTAAGCCATGTACAGAAGTTGTGATCTCTGTAGTCCATTGGTTTCTATCACAGTAGAAAGGACTTGTTGTGAGGATGTGAATGTACTGGGGGTGTTATACCCTGCCTGACTTACGGTGGGTTTGTATGTGTACCAGCCGGAACCCTTGGAAAACAAAACATAATTTTCATATTAATTTTTTTTTCAAATCAACATAAATTGTCTTCAATGTTTTCATAAAAATGAGAATCATAAAAAAAACCTGATTATCAATATTTTGCCATCGGACACAACACTGTGAACGTGGTGGTGTGGAGTTGTTGACTTTAGGACTGAGTCGCGTCTCTCGGTGACATAGGTACAACCGTCCCATGTCGACCTGGAGAGTCGGTGGTGTCATAAAGAACTGCCAGCAAAAAAGATGGAGCACACACAGGTCTCAGGACATATGTCTCACCTGTGTACCGAGGGTAGTACATATTCAACCTCTTGTCACATTTCAGCCATTACAAAATTTCAAATGTTCATCCCAATCCTATTTTTGAACTTTTCACCCTGCATGAGGGGACAAATCAATATATACAGTGTGTATACATTTAGCTTTACAACAATGGAAGAGAACATTCAACAACGGCAGAATCATGTTAAATGCCTGACTTACAACATTTTGCGTGAAAATTATAAATGGTGCCAATTTCAATAATTTTACAAAATTTCATGAAAAAGTGCCAACTTTATTGCGGATTACAATGTATATTCTTCACTTCTTCACATTTTGTAACATTGATATCGGGATCAGAAATGTCAGAGGGGATGCTGATATTCGTGATGGTTTCTGGTCGAGTCTGATCAAGAGATTGGGACATGTAAAAGCCTACATTCAAACACACAACAGTACAGATAATTCATTTTTTATGGGTTCACATTTTTTTTTATATTTCAAATTAGCGTTGTAAATTTCTTTCTCACAATAGAAAATTAAACTGAAATTGCTACTTTCAAAATGAAGTAATTTTGAGAAATTCAATATATAATGGTGCATGAAATTGATTTGTTTTTAATTAATCAGGAATATTTTAGGATTTAAATATACTTAAGACTGTACATTTAGTGTGTGAAAGTGGTAGGATTCCAAATTATACCCGATAGCTAGGAAACTGACATGATTGGCATGTGCCTTCACAAGGTCAAAAGGTCACAGCTGTAATGGCAGAACCCTATCAGATTACAAGCAGACAGAATTATGGTAAGCCACAATATAGTGTTATATTTATATAATAACTATGATTACATAAACAGGTTAAAATCACATTGACGCATCTAATATTACACAACAAAAGCAAGAGAATTCATAGTCACTGAGGCACTATCCGGTGAAAGGAAGATTGAAATGTTTTAAAAGGTAACTATCAATAAAGTTTCAATTTCTCTTTTACGGAATTTCATACCTTGTGCATACATAGTCTTTGCTCAAACTGGGATCAAATAGGCATTGCCAGCTAAACACTTGTTACCCATTGCTAGTTTAATGTTTGACTTAAATGGGTCCCGGGTTGTTTCCATATACTTGCACATTATTAGTAGGCATTGTTCTTGTAATGCATTAAAAACAGATGTTTAACATACCAAGACCATGACATTATGAAGCCATTTCCTCACATTTAATACGCTTCAAAAACTAAGTTTTATCTTGCCACAAATTAATTTGCACAGTCAATCTATGCATCCTACATCATAGTTTTTACCTTTTTTGATAACTTAATAAGCCACATAACATACAGCTACTTGTTCCTAGCCCAAAATAATATTCTTTCAGCATTTTAGCAATTATCTTTTAAAATAGCATGAATTTTCTTTTCCTGGTGATATTACCCCAATAATAGAGTGTTCTGAATTTGAGGTAGATTTTCAATAAATGGAACAGCTAGTATCGCCCTGATATTACCAATGTTACGATTATGATGTCACAAATGTGATGACGTCCTGATTATCATTCCCCGTCCCGTATAAATTCACACCTTACTTTGGAGGTTTATATAGTGGCTATGCTGTCATGTTTTCAGTGTTATCAACCAAAGATGTAGTTTCATTTTTAAACATTTCATCTTCCTAAAGGAAAGCTTTCATGCAAAATAAGAGACATTATAATATAAAAATAACCTGTTATGCACAAAATTTTGTTATGCATGAAATAAATAGTCAAATCTCATTATCTAGCCACAAAAAAAGTTTGAGAATAAATAAATGGGGTATTTGAGAAAGACCGACTACTTCATTACCTTTCCCCGAAGAAAACTTTTACAATAATATATAAACCTCTCAGTTACTTAACTAGCAAATGAAAGCGTTGCATCAAATACATATAAAGTGTATGTCAGAATATTTGCGCTTGTTTTAAACATTGACCAGTTACAAAACTGAAATAAACTGTTTTCTTTCTAGAACATCAACTCCTTTGAAAAAATATCATGAAGACGATTCTTTTTCTCTAAAATTACTCAAATTCATTTAAAACTAAAAAAATGTATGGTAAGACATAAATGCCCCCTTGGCCCTGTGGTTGACTTATAAATAGCAACAGTGACCTTGGCTTTGACCTACATACAATCGTATATGAGGTATTCTCATGCTTGACCTTTGAAAAAACTTGGATAATAATAATAATAATTAAAGGTTCTTATGTACCACTTTATCACAACCTAGTTCGTAGGTCGTCTCAAAGCGGTTCACAAATTATTATCCGTGGTTATAGGGCCTTTGCAACCAGCCAATACCTTTCTCAACTCCCTGGGGAGCATACAGCCGTTCGGAGCTGCCATTTCGGCGCTAACAGCTAGCATTCAACAATTCTAGCACTGCCCAACCATATACTCATTTACAGCCGAGAAGACAGGAACAAGCGGAGTAAAGTATCTTGCTCAAAGATACAACACAGTGCCATGCTGTGACTCGAACATGCAACCCTTTGGTCACAAGCTCGGCGTCCTACCACTAGACTACCGTGCCTCCTGATGAAAATCTGTTCAGAAATGAAGTCGTTAGAGTCAAGAAAACGAGTTACGACACAAAGGATAAGATGAACTTAGGTAACACTATATGACCCCATCCCTAACCCCCTTTAAAATGGCGGGGGGTATAAAACACTGTTCAAGGTAGTCAGGTATGTTCTATTAAGTGAAGACAGCCGATTGACCTTGACCAATAAAATGGAGTGGGTTCAAGTTATTTTCTATGATAATGAGATTGACTATTTAATGGCATTTAGGAATTGTCCATATCATACACGCAAGTCAATATTGTAAAACAATCAAATTTTGTCTAGAGAAAATGATTGCCTATCATTCCTTTAAAATATTTCACATCTGTCCATCGTCTCTACAGAAGATTTCCTTCTATGTAACCAATATCACATGTTTAAAGCAAGATCATTATTTTATTCTAAGTTTATACCACACTACACCAATACTCAAATTTTGACTTTCAAGTTAAAAACTTAATTGTGTCCAAAAATCTTCATTTAGAGAAATTACAAGGTTTAACATATTTTTATCAATGTCAACAATGAACTTTCATTTTTAACCAGGGGAAAAAATAAATGAATACATTCATTTTTTTATCCAATTATTTATTTGCTTTCGTTTATTTTCATTTATTGACTTATATATAAGTTAAGATTTTTTGAATGAAATGGCAAGCTTTTTCTTAGCAAAAAATGATTGATCTACAATAAATTACATTTTTACACTATTTGATAATGCAACATAAAATTTGACATTCAAAAGTACAACAGTCTATGTAGTGGAGAAGTATACTGTTACAACAAAGCTGACAGTCGGCATACAGGATAGATACAGGCATGCATACAGCCATCGTCATTCCAACACTCAAGCATTGTACAGGGATGCTGTACAGTACCTGGAAGTCACTAGTTACCATAGAGGAACCTGTTGTTGTCACAGGGGGCATAACTCTCACACGCTTCGCTGGCGGTTGGTTGTGTCCGGACGATTGGTCTGCACCCCCCTAGCAATACAGACATGGAAACGTGTTTACAAAATGCTTCATAGGAAAAAAGACAAAGTACATGTTCACATTATTTTGAAATCCATGTGTCACTTTTTAGGCAGTATTAACAGTTCTATGTGATTTCATATATGGTATCTTATAAAAGTTGACAAATACTGCCTTTATTTATCATGTACAACACGGGAACACAGGTCATGAGTACCTCTACACAGTAGCCTGCAAAGGTACTAGGCTTGCCACCAACTGGAATTTTCAAGACAATTAGGATCCAGTTGTCTACTTCAGTTTCAGATGTACAACTAAGGAACAAAGTTCGCTGGAAACTTGATTAATCCAGTAACCCTAGATTCTCAAAGTGCTACAAACATTCCAGGCATTCACCAAAGGGACATAACTCAGCAGCCTGTGTTGATTCCAGGTACTCAGTACTACTATAGTGAAGTAATATATTTCAGTGGTGTGTGGATTAGATGCATACAACCTTATTGACAAAAGTCATTGGAAATATTATCCAGTAACGTAAACCTGCAATTAAAACCAATGGAACCACCCGGTATCCGTTTGGAATATTCCGTGATAAAGCAATCCAACTCACGCAAATCAGATTCTGGAACACATTGCATACAGATGTCATTCCTATTGAAAGTAATGAATAGTGTCTATAGTGTTATATCTGCATTCAAATGGTCATATTTTCTTCACTTGAGAATTTTTCAATACAGAAATTATTGATTTAAATTAAAAACCAGTTGAAACAATAGTATGCTAAAATCATATCTACTGTATATTTGTACAGCTAAACCCGATATTGACATACCTTGTCCCCAACTTTACTGGCCCCTGTATCTGCCTTGTCGTCGTCATCGTCTGTCAGGAATTCACGTCTAGGGTATGGGATAACCTTACCCTCAAATACACTGAACACATAGCAAAACATTCTGATGATATAAATCATGTAAATGAAGATCTGAAATCGTTTTTTTCGCTGAATATGGTTTTTGAGAATGAAGCACTCAAAATCACAACATACTACTGATGCTGATGGATGGTTATAGATACTGTGTAGAAATAGCAAACACAGTATTAAATGATGTCTGCCTTGAATGCTTAGAAACTTCAGAAAATCAGAATAAACGCAGAATCCTTGAAATTTTCTAAAAGAATAGAGTGTTGATATAATGAATTAACATGGTATTTGTACAGTGCAAAGTTTTTCATTTCTCTGATTGGGAACGATCGCATAAAATCCTTACAAGTATGATACACGTACGTGTATAACCTAAAGTAGTTTTTGACCAATGTAATTATTGTTATCATTCCTACACTCAGAGTGATAGCTTACTCCCCCACCCAATCTCTGTCTCGGGACATCCCTACATACTCTTGTGACGGTAAAGGATCCTCCAGGAAATACGGATCCTTCATAGCCTGCTCGGATGTTATTCTCTTCGTCGGGTCCATAGTTAACAGCTTCTGTAGCTATAAAGGAAAAATAGTAGGTTAAAATATGTCAATCAAAAAAGTGGAAGTTAACCACCAACTGAACTGTTCTACTTGAATATCTGAAACTGATACACCTCACATCATCTAGTCAAAAAACACTCATCTACATATACATAATAATGTACCTAGCATTTACCATCCCACGGATACTGTATAATATCACTTTTTTTTAACAAATCATTATATTATTTCTAATACTGGGTACACTTTTATTACTTTTCAAATAATTTTTACAATTAATATATTTTGTGTAATATTGCCTAAAATTTCCCCTTGCAATGGCAATGACCTTGAGAATTCTGACCTATCATGAGTGTTGTGTGAAAATTATGTTGTTTTGTTTTTTAAATTCAATGTTCTGTCTTTTAAAGAGAATTGCTGTCTGCCTATGGTAAGAGCCACTTATTAACGGAAACAAATACATCTGAATACAAAACACTTATAAAAGCGACAGTCCTTTATTAAGTTTTCTTGCATGTCATACATTTTCATACAAAGGCAAACATAATTTTCCAAGTGTTTCCAAAAGTGTTAATGTTTTCATGGTATCTATGTATTAATGGGTGCGCATTCTGAATTCCAGAATGTGACTTTCTTAATGTAAACGTACATATTTTAAAGTCCTCAAACTTTAGTGTAATATCAAATTTAATGGTTTAGTGCATATTGATGATCAAATGTTTGTTTTTTTGTAACTTAGAATTTTATTCAGATTTTTCAAACACATACGCATGACAAATAATGAGATACAAGTCTGTAAATTATGACAGGAAAAGATGGGTAATTGTACAGAACACTCATCTTACAGATTTCATACTACCCTACTCACTACATGTCATACATATAAACCTATTACACAGCCTTTGCCTGACTGACATTCATCATTAAACCTTACACCTATTTTGCCAGTACCCAATCGTACATACAAAATACTTATGGTCATGCGATGTGCTTTTATGAGAGAGAGAGAGAGAGAGAGAGAGAGAGAGAGATGGCACTATTTCCTATCTAAAATTCAATTTATTAGCAAGATTGAAGCAGTAAATATTAACAGCTGATTAATTTTGAAAGAAATCAGCAAGCACTGTATGGCATTGAAGAGAAGAGAGCTAGACTATAAAATTACAACTCGGTAAATTTTCCCCTTTATAACAAGGCTTTTTCAAAAAGATTCCTGGCAGCTTCTCCATTGCTGTTAGCAATAAAGTTTTGCAAGTTGTTAAATTGTTTTAGTGCATTAATAAGTCCATTGATGTTGAGGGAGTTGTGAAATCATCGCATTTTGTAAATATACTGTTTTATAACAAGGAGAATTTCATTATCAACTTTGCAGTTATTGAAATTTTGAGATAAAAATCCAAAAATATAGGATTGTTTATTGTAATTAAATGGGATAAAAAGAGCATCTAGTAGAATTCTTAGACTATCTAGTAAATTCTGGGTTTCTTGACATTCCCACAGGATATGATCATGTATTGTGCAGTGCACCCCAAAAATAAGCAATTGAGAACAATATACAGTTTTTCGACTTTTCAGGGTTCGAATTATCAGTTTTATTTACTAAGATAAAGAAGAGATATGGCTGGGACTGTAGAGAAATACTTCGGGATAAACGGGGTCTTCGAGTTAAAAGAGTTTGAGATAACAAGGTTCGACTGTACAAGATTTTCAATTGGCGCATTCATGACTTTGCACAACAAATAATGCGCAAAAAAAATACATAAAATAAAACTAATGTTAAAATATGCACAGTTACTGCATTTCATTTTAAACTTTTAGAAGAAAAAAAACCCATATGATTCTGGTTTTAATTTTTAAACTGGAGCAACTTTGATAAAGTATAGTTGTCTGCATAAAAATATAACAATAAAAGAGCCGGTACATGTTTTTCCAATCCGTTTTTTTGATTCAACAGTAAATATTTGCTGTAGCGGCCATAACCTACTCTGGTTTTAATCCCTATGGAGGTGCGTTTTACATAGATTGAGACGATAAACTTACAGCTTTTACCCCTATATAAGGAACATTTTTGATGATAACCCCTAATGATCCCTTAGGTGAGTTTAAGGGTGATACATTTTCATTATCAGAAACTTACCAAGTGGAACTGTTTACTGTCTGGCTTCACCTTGTGTTTCTCCATGTACTTTACTAATGTACAGTTCACATATCTGCAAAAAAAAGGAATGTAATGTCCATAAGGATGACCATAACACACAGGTGAGTGTACCTTTGAAAGTTGGTGATATAGATCCAGTAAATCCAAACATAAATAACACTGCTTCATACAGTTGTTTCCTCCTTCTAGAAATCATCGGTGATACTAGGGGCCAAAAAGTTGTCTAAACTACTGTTGGTGCAGGTGCCTGAATCCCCTTAATTATGAATTTGAAAACTTGGCGCTCATCATAGTACCATCTTCATTAGTTCTATGTCAGTTTGATCTTTTCTCTTCTTTTCTCTTATCTGTTTGATCAGTTTGCCTATCCTCCATCTTTATCAATCTTTTGATCAACCTCGAAAGTTAGCATGCACAACTCAAGACCCGATTTCAGTGCGAGTGATTCCGCCTTCCCAAGATACATAAATATGGTAAGTTTGGTCAACGTAGGTAAAATAACATGGAACTTATGCTCCGGACAAACGTCGGTATTAAAAATAAACAAAGGGCCATAACTCTGTATATAGTAGGGCACAAGACCCAATGGTAATGCACTGCGCACCTTCTGTGGGTGATGCAGGTATACTTCAAGTTTGATCAAGATATCTTTAACGGTTTAAAATGTACCGGCTGGACAAGAATTTACTGAAAATGTTGCGATAATTTGACCTTTGACCATGAGGTGAAGGTCACATTAACCTAATTCCAGTGCACTGCACACCTTCTGAGGGTCATGCAGGCATACATCAAGTTTCATCAAGGTATATTTAAAGGTTTAAGATTTATGGCCTGAACAAGTTGCGATTATAAGAACCAGATCAAAGTACTGAAAGTACTGAAAGCTAAGGCAAAAGATATATATATTATTTTTGGAATGGAGAACAAAATAAAGACGAAGTTCCCATCATATTGTACAGAAGGATTTACTGTTAATTTGTTATGAATCAAAGTTTTATGTAAAAGTGTACCACTGTGAAGTTATTCTTCTTGTGTGTACAGTATATCTTTATAGGTTTGTCAGAAGAGTGGTACCAAGTTTCCTCTAGAATATATCATTTTNAAGTAAAGGTGCATCAGACTTACTCCAATTCAGAGATGAACAGATATAATAATTTCTATATATTCTCCAACATCGCAACTCTCTAAGTTTAGTGGGTAAAGTACTCAACAGAAATCACATGCAAAATACATATTTTGAAATGAAATTTGTTGGCTAATCCAGATAATTACCTACTTCAAAATATGGATCTATAGAGAACAGGTATAATATCATTAACTTACATAGATCTTTTGAAGTCCTTCATAAGTGTTTGGTGTTCTGGCATTTTACGGATATCTTCCCAATCTTTCTCTGAAATGAACATATTGAATCACACAATAGCAGGGTAAAACATCAAATTAAATTTAGCACAACATTTTCAATCATAATAAAATTTTGTCAAAAACAAATATTTCCCATTTTGGGATCATGACATACCAAGAGGCATAACTCCTTCCTTTATATAACACTTCATCTCCTGTTCCGAATGTTACTTCATAACACATTCGGTTAAAATACCATAAACTGGTGTAGAAAAGCAGGCTTTTAAAGATTTAAAAACCTCACTACCTCATAACGGGCATTGTGCTTCAGTTCCCATGAAACTCAAAAAAATGTTTCAAAATGTATTCCTAAATGTATGAAATATGACATCATTCATGAAAAAGACATCAACTGACTAGCACCCTCTTAGCGGCCATATGGCGACGAACAGCACACATCACATAAACAAACTATTTTAATTGCAGTGCATCAATATTAGACCTTTCGGAAACCTCCATACTAAATATCAGCAAACACTGAAAGTGCCATTATCACATTTGCACCAAAACCTTTACCTGACAATGCCAAATCGAACACTCAAGAAAAAATATGAAGAGACTTAGAGCTGAATACTGTTTTCAATGTTTACATTTGACTTTTTGATAGTTTGACGTGATTTAAGTGGGTTACGAGAAAGTTGGTTTGAGCACAAAATCTATGCTTGAGTATAAGAATGATTTTATAAATACGGGCCTGGGTCTTTTACAAAATTACAGTACACAGTACTCAAAACGTCATAAATGCAGGCCTAAGCCTATTGTCCTGATAGTACTGGTGGACGACTGAATAGATAAAATTTGAAAATAGTTCTGTTCTCAGTCATACTTACCTAGAGGAAAGCCCATTACGTTGAATATTCGGTCCAGCTGATCGTGGTGATATGGATTACTAGTTTTTATATCTTCTTGTCTACAGTGAAAAATCGGTTCATACGTCAACAGCTCTGCAAATATACAGCCGATGGCCCAGATATCTGTAAGAAACAAACAAAATAGATCAAAAGTTTGCAGTGGAAGGCCTACACAACTCTAACGAACAACACTTTTTTTTTTAACAGATTAGCAAATATATTGTACATGCATAGGGCCGACAGCCCAGATATCTTAACAAACCTCAACAAAGATCAACACCTTTGCATCCAAACATGCAGCTGATGGCTAACAACAAAACGAAATACATCAACATCTTTCCAGATATGCATATTTATTAGTTTCCCCTGTGAAATATCAGAAATTATTAATTGAATAGAACGTTCTAGATCTATCTTCATCATAAATCATGTATCATGAATACAAACAGATGTTATATCTTCACCTGTGAAAATATTGGTTTTAATAATTGACCAATCATGACTAGAACAGAACTCATATTCACTGTGTTATATTAGTTGCAGATTTTCATTTCAGATGCAGATCAAGCATTAGTTGAATGAGTGGTTGTTTTTTTACCTACATACACTATGGTATTTCCTAGCACAACTGATAACATCTTTGTAAGTATTTCTAAATACCAAACAATAGCAGAAAAAGTAGCCAATTCAAATTCTGCACAGTCTTATAAAGCG